GGAATGCTCCCAGCTCTTCCTGAAATACATTCAAAACAATATTGACTGAGTGCTAGCAAAGTATGCTTGCTTCTCTGGTGCTCAGGAAGTTTATGTCTGACTTTAATTCCAAATGAGCACGCGCCATCAAACCCAGACATTCCAATCCACAACACAGGTTCCAGTGGTTGGAGGAAGCTAGAAGCTCTTTGGCCCTTAGTTGCTGTTTTGTAGTTGCTGCAGATTCTCTTCTTCTGCTTAACTCGCTTCTCTAGATATACAAACTAACCAGAATTTCCCTGGTTCTATAATAAAAAATAAGAATAACTAACATTTGTGTAGTGTTTTAAGTGAAGAGAAAGCGGGAGTAGGGAGCCTCCTAGTGTAGACAACAGTCTGATTTTAGATTTCTGCCCTCCTTTCTCTGCAGCCATACAAGTAATGTACTCCTAATCAGGAATAGTCAGACTGATGGCTTTACTATCACCAATATGTGCTATGTACTCAGCAGCTAGCACATTTGAAGGATGAACTCCATTTTCAGGAGAAGCAAAACTGAAAATGAAAATGATATTTCATGGAGGTATATGCTCAACTAATGTCATTTCTTTTCTGATAGTGTTGCTGGACTGGGAATGTCCAGCAACACTAAATCACAGAGTGCCAGAGTGTGTCAGGATTTCAACAAGGCTTTGACAGAGTTATTCATGATATTTTTTTAGATGAAATGGAGAAATGCGGGAAGAATGATAGTGTCTTCCGGCTGAACAACCATGCTTAAAGAGGGCTGATGAAGAACTGTTTTTGAGTCTAGACAGGGTTCTAGAAAGGGCTTGCCACAGAGCTTTGTATTTGGTCTACTCCTTGGTGTGGGAACCTGACATCATTGGTTCTTAAAGCTCCACAGGTGATTCCAGTGCTCAACCAAGGAGGAGAACCACTGTATAGGATCCGTGCTTCACATACTATACACTGTTTTTAGCATTCAGAGGTCTCTTACTGATACCAATAACTATCTTCCAAAGATCCAATGTTTGATACGGTTTCACAGATGCTTAAAGCAAGGGCAGAAAGAGAACACTTCAAGTTCATTTCAGGTAGGCTAATGGCTTGGAAACTTACACATAAAAAAGGGCTCCACCCACAAGGTCCATGGGGACCTCAACTGGATATCATTGAGACATTTCACAAACACCCAATTCCATCAAAATCCACTGACAAGAACAGCCTCATTATGTGTGAATGAAATATTAATAAAAGGCACTCTTGGTTCTGAGAAAAAAACAAACCAAAGATTTGTTTTATGGAAATGATTGTGGCTCCTTATTTAGAATCAGGTTATTATAATCACAGGTTTTAAAAAATATATCTTCTAGCCCGGCCCGGTGGCATAGCGGTTAGGTTTGAGAGCTCCGCTTTGGCGGCTCAGGGTTTGCAGGTTTGGATCCTGGGCGTGGACCGATGCACCGTTTGTCAAGCCATGCTGTGGCAGTGTCCCATATAAAGTAGAGGAAGATGGGCACAGATGTTAGCCCAGGGCCAGTCTTCCCCAGCAAAAAAAAAAAGAAAAGAGGAGGATTGGCATCGGATGTTAGCTCAGGGCTAGTCTTCCTCACACACACACACACACACACATATCTTCAATTAACAAAATGTTGGGGAGATGAGCAGAACACCAACATCTAATTTGCATATCCACAAGGCAAGTTCTATTTTAACCCCAGTCACTTTGGCAAACAGAAATAACAAAGCACTTTATTATTGGAGACTGCACTAAATATGTCCACGGGTCACAGAACAACATGTCCAAGGCCAATTATATTGAGGGCAAAGACTTCAGGCAGTGGGGGACGGTAAGAAGCTTGTCTCCTCTCTGTCTCTGGAAGGGTACCAACCTCATAACATCAGTACAGTTAATAACTCTCTGACCTTTAAAAGGCATTTTATGAGCAAATTAGGTCAATTAGTACAGAGCACTTTACATTAAAAAAATCCCAACCACTTTATAACTAGGGGGAAAAAGCAGCTAATTCCTGGCATCAATGATATGTTAAACAGGCAATATTCATAGGGGGTTTGCTCAGTTGTAAGTGACACAACAAAGACATAAAAAAGCCACAGTGAAATGCAAACAACTTTCAGAAGTATAGCCCCAGACTTCACCTTTAACCTCTCCTGTTCAGTGTTACCTGTTCATGGTAATTCCTATGGAACTGTGCAGAACTCTCCACTTTCTTACGGGGATGGGAGTATAGCGAGTGTGGAGGGAAAGTTCTTGGGGAAGTGGGGAATCTAATCTGCCTTCATGAATGGGTGAAAAGCACTCTAAGAATCCTTTCTCATTCGTTTTTCACTTTTCTATTCATATATAAATGTCTCTCTCTATATATATTTCCTACAATGAGCTAGACACTGTTAGGTAATTTACATGCATTATTTATTTAGTTTTCACACTAACTTTGAAAGATAGATATTATCCTCATTTTACACAAAGAAAACAGGCTTATAAAGATTTTAAATGACTTGCTGAAGGTCACAGAGCTTGTAGGTTGTGGAGCCAGGACACATCCAGATTTGCCTGACTACACAGACCAAATTTTTTTTCACATCAACATGCCACCCTCTACTCTACCATTCTGTCTTCCTTCCACTTATTTCCTTCTCTCCTCCTTAAAACCTAAAGTGGTGGATGAGTGGCAGTATTGGAACGATATTAAAGAAAGGACGACAAACCTAGTTCTCTTTTATATCTCTCCTGAAGCTCTGCGGTTTTTCTATTTCCCCACATATGGCCTGGTCACCAGGATCCAAGAAAACACTGGCTTCCTTCAAGCTCACGTTACATATCTTTTTTTCCCCAATCTCTCCATGGTTTCAGTGACTACATTTTTCAAATCCTAAACAAGGGCATATAGCCTGAGGCATTGTGTTTGCTTTAAGAGAATACAAGGACAACATATTTAAAATCAAAACTAAAATAGTACTCATGGTGCCTAGCAGAGACATAGAGGGCTGGCTCAATATGGACTTGTTGGTTGATTCATTGGAGGTCGATCACACACAGAGAGTAATGAGCAAAGTTAGAGTCAATCCTTATCAGTGGAATTCAACAGGGTGGTCTTTCTGACAGGTCTTTTTGTTATAGACTTAATGTAGGCTTCCTGAACCTGGTGGCTTGTTAATCTGCTTGTTTAGTACTTGTTTAGATACAAGGCTGTGGATTCTAAGAGACAAGCTGTTAATTATGAGTTCTAATCCCAGGCTAGAAGATGCCTATAAAGATTAAAACTTGTTTCCTTTTTTCTAACAATTAACAGCCTGGCTCAAGAGCGATCAATTGTAATTGGGGAACTGAAGAAGGTAATAAATGCATTACTGAGACCAGTTGCTTTACAGAGCCATTTATTTAATCCTTAAATTTTTCAGGTTGTAAATTACTCATTAGAAGGCAGAAAGCAAAATAGCTATAATCCGTTTAGTGCCTCCAAACTCCAAAGACTTAAGAGGAGGAAATCCATGGAAACGAGAGGCCTGATGTGTTCTTTCTCTGCTATTTTTAACGGGCAAAGGTGGTTAAACAATAAGGGCAAGCCCATGTAATTATCCTGATGTGCTGGTCCATAGGTCAGGGGTGGGCTTGATTAAATTCATGGAGGGCTGACCCAGGAACGGTGGGAAAATGCCCCTTCTTTTCCACTCAGCCCTGCAGGCAGCTAATCAATGTGCATATCTCACTTCCAGATTGTTTCACGAGACAAGAGCAATAGCCCATAGCATTCATTAGAGCCTTCACTCCTATCTGTTGTTTTCTAATCAGTTCAGGGACTAGGACAAGAGGCCAAGTACCAGAGAGGAATTAGGAGGGGGCGAGGAGGAGGCTGTCCCCCTTTCCATATGGGAAATGCAGCTCCCAATTACAAAATGTTCAACTGCCAAAACAACTAGACAATTAGTTTGTGGGTTTCTTTACATGTATAGAAAGCCACATATATTTAGCTTGTGGATTTCATAAGCTTAACGTGTAAACACTAAACCATTTACTAAGGACAATATTTTTATATACCAAGGGTAAAATTCAATTTTAGAATCTTAGTGGTAATGATGCAAACAGTATGCAAGATGCCTTTGGCATCGGCACTCTGCGTGCGTTTTGAGAGAAGAATTGGAATCAGTGCATATCTCCTTTTTTCAATAGTGTTATGCCCTTTATATACACAACACAGCTTCTGGCTCACCCTTAGGTTATATACAAGAAAAAGGCACTGGCTCACTTCTGTGCTGAGCAAGCATTTTTTTCATCCTCCTTTGCTTTTTCTTCTTACGAACAAGAGCATATTTCTGAATAAAGATGGTGGTGTTAGGCTATGAAGTGGAGCTTTTCTCTTTGCAGAGCTAACCACACCACATAAGGATCAAACCTCTGATTCTGCAGTAGCAAACTGAGTTACCCAACACAAACTATTTCCATTCATTTTCTACTTGACAATCTAATTAAGTTTGTGATTTCACCAGGCTGGCGCTGTGTCTATCTTGTGTTCCATTCAATACCCACCAAGCTGTTGTTGCTCAACAAATCATTACTGATAATGAAACAAAATTTAATTTTAAAAATTATAGCTGTTCTGGAAATGCATTTATTTACTTTGTTAAAATAACTATAAAGCAAGTGTTTCCTACATAGATCATTTAACCAGGGCATGTGATTAAAAGTACTCTTTTCTTCCCACATCTTACTTTAAAAAAAAGCTACACTGTTTTTTAACAGCAGAAAGCTATACTGAAATATTTTAAAGACCCCTGACATTAGAATTACTGATATCAAAGCATTTGAGAAAACCATTGAGACATCTTAAGATAAACTGAAGATAACTCACAATGATTTTGAAAATTATAACTTGGTGCTTCCATGTCACTTGTCACAGGAAAGAGCCCATTCTGGCCATTTTTAGTGAAGGCACGAAGTGACATTTGGCCTTTTGCTTTTCCTGGGGAGGAAGTACCTGAGTTTTCTTTGGACTTACCCTGAGTGGATTTTCATTAAGGTAAGGAGGTTCACCTTCCACCATTTCGATTGCCATAATCCCCAGAGACCAGATATCAACTTTCGGACCATAAGCTTTTCGAGTCACCACCTCAGGTGCCATCCAATAGGGAGTTCCCACCATAGTGCTTCGTTTACTTTGCTCAGGGGTGATCTGAGCGCAGAACCCAAAATCAGCTGCAGAGAAAAGTCAGTTAAAATCAGCTCGAATTATTTTTCTTTTACAATAGGTCACTTTCAGACATGGCCGTACCTTCCTTTGTTAGACACTGAGCTTCCACAATTGCCTAGCTCATATCCTTTTGTTAACTTGATCTCTCAGCTGGTCCTGATTTTAAAAGGGTCTGAAATAACTGACTGATGTGATGTCACTTTTACTAGACCTCAATCCAGTTCCCTCCCTATTACTGTTCCCTGCAATTTACAGAATCTTTCAGTTTTCTAATTAGGTATTTGTCATCCAGCAGATGGAAGTCACTATAAATTCTGAAATAGTAATCCCCCAAAATCTAGTCATGATCTACAGGAACGCAGTGTTAGAAAAATTGTTTACTTCAAACAGGGCTCTAAATGATTTCAAATCAATCACTTTCAATAGCCATTATCTTCTCAAAATAGACAGTAAAAGAGCAAAATTTCCCCAATACTCTCTCCAACACCATCTGAACCAAAATACCTACTCAATTTAACAGAGCCGTCCATCCCAAGGAGAATATTGTCACTCTTTATGTCTCTATGGATCACTTGGTTTGAGTGCAAGAAATCCAAAGCTTGGAGGCACTAATGAATCAGAAAAAAAAAAGTTCTAATTATATCACAGAGAATTTTTTAAAAATTTGAGTTTCATTTCTAGATAAATTTTAGGCAAGGGTATAATTTTATCTTGTCAAGTGAAATAGATTACTAAATGTTTTAACACCATTCTGAAATCACATTACAATTTACATCGGTGATGCTACCTAGCATTATAGATATGAAGGCTCCCGAGTCAGACTAGGACATGAAGAGTGATGGTGTGATAAGCAGCACTAAATCATTAATATAGCAAAACTAACCAATTAGTATAATCATACTTTGACATAGTTATCTGGAGGATATGGATTCAGGTTGGTCTTATAGAGAAGTAGTAAGCTTTTGCATCCACAGTACGATTTGATTCAGCAGGTCTGGAGTGGAGCCCAGGAAACTGCATTTCAAACAAATGCCCCAAGCTATTTCTGATGGACAGCCAGGTTTGGGAACCACTTCTAGGCTTCGAAGTAACTATAGGTACTTGATTAGAAATGGCTTTGCATTGTAACACTAGAAGATGGAAACCACAGGCTCAGGGTTGAATATTCCTCTGAATATTATAAGTTTGATTTATTGCATGAATAGAAAATATATATGTTTGCTGGATATGTGTGTGTCTTTGGGGAGAACAAAATGGGAATGAGAGGAGAAAAAAGAAAGAGGGAATTTAAGTGAAAAATTTAAAATACAAAACAAGCAAAGACTAGCTGAAATTATTTGGTTTTGTTTCCCTATTATTGGTTTTCAAGTTTCAGTGGGTCAGAATTCCTACTTGTGTCTGCAGAAAACCTCACCACAATGAATGGGGTAGATGGTAATACCCAAGAAGAGACTCCAATGAGGAGTGTGTTTTTTTTAATATTGAAAAAAATTAATATAATAAATCCTTAGTTTAGCTTGAAACTAAGGATATAACACTGTTATTGGAAAAGAGGCAGACCCTCAGACCCACTGGAGGGCTAGTAGGGATGTCCAGACTGTACTGTAAAAGCAACTACTTTCTGGGCTGAGGAAACACCTTGCTTAAATTGCCTTCTAGAAAATGATGGTATTATACTGTGGTCTGTATTTTACACGGCTCACATTGCACACGCAGGATAAAATAACTATCATGTAAAAATTTCCCCAAATAGTAAAGAAGTTCCATGCCAACATCACTGTTTTCCACATTCACTGAGACTATAGCACGCAGGCTTAGATATGGCACCTCTTGAATGGCACAACGGAACTCAAAAGATCCATAGCAAAACAACTAAAACAAACAAGGGGCTGGGGAGGGCTGGGAAGAGGAGTGCTATTACATTAGGATTTAATTTGAGGTTAGGCCCTCCAATTTTTTTTTTCAGAAGAAAAGATGTGCTATTGTTACTTTGATGTTATAAACATTTTGAATAATCAGAGATAAAGAACTGTCACTTTTGGTGTTCTCATCAGCTAGAAATGCTCTATTTTCTTACCTCTCTGCAGACAGCTGCTATCTGTCCTTCATCCATACAGGTCTCTGTGACCACATCAGTCAAGGAGCCACCAGCCAAGTATTCCATGACTACCCATAGTTCATCACCCACTAAGTAACTATAACAAGAAAAGAAAAAGACTTTGACTCACGTCTAAGGAAGTGGGGACTCCTTTATATTCTTATTAAGAAGACAATTTGCAGTTAGTTTCTGCATTTGGCCATATTACATATCAAGAGGAAAATATTAATGATGGTGATAACGAGACACTTCCTTAACATTAGAAGAGAATATACATGGAAAATCAAAGGATCATCAGATATGACTGTGCACCAAGGAGGAAGGAAAGGAGCAAGGAGACCTCTAGTGACTGACTACTGTCAGTCATTCCATTGTAAAAGCTAGTTCCAATGAACAGGATCATTGAAGAGCCCTTTTGGATAACTCAAGCCATAATGTTGACTTTTGGACTGAACTGGCCCATGGCATTTAGATTTATGGGATATTTATTCAGATCTCGGCAGTATTTTTGATTCTACTGAATTAATTACTGGAATGTTTTCAAGCAGTCGCTGAACCAAAGAGACTCATGTTTGCAATGGATTTACTGTGCTGCGGTCTCAGTTCTGATAGAAGTCAGTTGTGACGGGCCCATTATCTTTAGTAGAATGATCTGGTCTCTCTTTTCCGCTGCTCAGCAAGGGAGAGGAATTACAGTGAATGGAATGACTCCAATGATTCCACCCTGCCCTCAGTTCCACATCAATATGAAGCAAGACTTCTTAGCCAGTGGTGCTCAAAGTGCAGTGCCCGTAAGATTCACCTTGAAAGCCTGTTAAAAATGAAAATTCACAGGCTCTATCTCTTTATGGAGAGCAGCCTAGAAATCTGCATTTTTTACAAATGCCATTTTTACAAAAGCAAAGTCACTCTGCTGCAGGTGGCCCCTAAAGAACACTTTATGAAACACTGATTTCAACTGCAAAATTTGACACTCCTTTTTCATCCCCCCTTCCCCTCCTTATGTACCACTGGTCTACCTGGCACAAAACACAGAAAGCAAGATCTTAAGCTCATTGAGGTTGTAGACCTAGTCTTATTTCCTTCTATCCTCTCAGAGTACACAGCACGTGGTGCTAAACAAACACTTACTGAAATTGAATGAGACAGATGTTAACCACAAATGAAGAGTTAGTGCTGTCTTTAAATGCCTATTTATAACCCACCGCTAATAACACTGATGAAAGAGACATTAATTACCTGGTCTAGGAAAAAGGTTTGAGATTAAAGTCTCAATTCCCTAGACTCCACTGTTGGTTAATCACAAAGCACCCATTAAAGCAGGGCCATTGCAGTCAGTCTTCTTCACTTAGACACCCAGAGGCTGCACTGGCTCCAAACAGACACTTGATGAACTGTTCAAAACACCACAGCTCTCTCCTATACGCCATAGTCTATTTCCTGGCAACAAGGAGCCATGATCCTCAAAAGGAAATTACACAAACTGCTCATGTTTAGATGTAAGACCATGAAATGTGTCTTCAAATGTTTTATGGGTGGACAAAGATAAGTGGGTGCAAGTTTAGCAATAGATCTGATACTCTACGATTTTGTAACGTTTGAGAAATATTTGTAGAATGCTTAGTGAGTAGACCCTAAATAAAATAATTTGCCAAGAAAATGATATCCCATAAAGAAAACAAGTACATAATGAGAGAAAACACTTACCTATCTAAATAATTAACAATATTGGGGTTCTTATTTTCCCTCATGACCAGAATTTCATTAATAATTAATTCCTTTTTGGGCTGCTGTTGAAGGTTCATCTGCTTTATGGCCACCTGAATGATGATTAAAATGCAAGAATGAATTACAATCATAAGAGCAAACACAAACATCCATATTTTTTGGCATACAAAGTGAGGCACAACCATTCTTTATCTTACTAGGCTCTTTCTTGGTGCCACAAACCCATGCCCCTTTTCTTTGGTCAATCATGAGCGAACCATCCACTTCAGATACTTTGGACACTATGGAAGCAAACTCCCATGTCAAATCAAGGCTATCCATTTTTTTAGGCATAGATGCCATCAAAGATGAAATCTGATCAACATGAATAAAGGAAAATATAAATCGGGACTGAATGTTAGCACTTACCTCTTGTCCTGTTGCAATGTCTAGTGCTGTATAAACAGTACCTGATGCCCTGTGAAGGTGAAAATCATCAAATGAATAAGCAATCAAAGTGTTATCAATATATTTCATTTTAAATAAAATGTAATTATTTTCAGGAGAGGGAAATTGGCAAACTCAAGATTAAAGGATGAAGTAAAAAAGGAACAACCATTTTGTAGAGTAATTACACCCGAAACAATCACGATGTATCCATTTTGGTGGGCTAGGAACTCCAGTCAGACTTTTTGGCAGCAGTCCATGTGCCACGGCACCATGCAGTAATGAATTGAGCAAAATGCTCCTTTTAGGAAACTCCTGGAATATTTTGAATACTCCTTGGATGTTGCAACAACCAATACTGAAGTCCTCTGATTAAACTGAAGTACAGTTTAGGAAACAATATATCATCTTTTCCTTAGGCAACTGTAAATTAATCTTTGCTTTTAGCATATGGACAGAATGGCTTTTTTCATTTATTTCTAATTCTTAACAATATCTTCATCTAACAAATCAATCACTCTCATGCTGTATGTACTAGTACTGTAGCTACACAAAAGAATAACAATGTGGGGTTACTGTTGAGCCATTTTTTTTCTTTTCGCTAGATTTCTCAACAGCTTCTACTATGAGGTTTCACTGAAGCCCACTATCCTTTTAAAATCATCATTTCTTAATGGTAGATTTTAATGTCGTACTCATGCTTTCATTCTAACTTCAATTACAGGGCTCCCTTGCTTTGCAAATAGAAATTGTCTAGTAAAGCTGAATTCACAGTAACTTTCCATGAAACACACATGCATTCTGAACTACCTCCCCACCTCTATTCCTAAGAAAAAGAAAAAGTCAACTTTGTCGAAACACTTGTGGTGAATAAAGGAGTTAGGATAGAGATCAGTTCTGTGACTGACCAGGCGTTGTAATGCTCCAACACTGCTATTTAAACTTTCTAGTTAGTTTTGTTTTCTGAGTCCAGGAATTCTTTTTTTATGTCAGCCATTTCCTTGTAATCCTCTCCCTTCTTCTCCCTGGATGAGCCAAAATATTTCTCACAGGCCTAGGAAGTTTCCATTATCTGCTCCTAGGGAATAAAATGGGTGATGTAGTATAAGGAATATTTGACAACTATAGAGATCTGAGTTCTCATATTTGCTCTAACATCAACAAGCTATGTGACCCTTGGGCTTGTCACTTCCCCTCTCTGAGTCTCAGTCCCCTCACTCAGAAAATAGTGATCACAATAACAGTAAACATATATCGAGCATGTTGTGCATACGAGACACTGCACTAAGAACTTTATATAAATTATCTTATGTAATCCTTACCATATTTCTAAAAGGCAAGTGCTATTATCCCCATGTTACACATGAGGACCCTGAGGCTCTGAGAGGTCAAGTAACCTGCCCAAGGTTATACAGTTTACAATCCAAGACTGTCTCACTCTCTTTCTGTAAAACACAGGAAATGGGCAGCTTTATTTCTAAGATTCTTTAATTCCATGATCTAGAATTTACAAACTCTGCTGCCCTCCTCACTCTGCATGGGTATTTAAATATCTATTGGAACTAGACTGAAAAATCGCACTTAATCAATAGGTGCCACCTAAACCAGAATGTGGTGATTTCAGAAATTCCTTCGGTTTGAGGCTTGTATCAAACTAATCACTCTCTCGATTTTGTATGCTTGAGATTCTGGATTCAGAGCACACAGCTGGTGCTCAATAAGTATTTGTTAATTGAACAAATTAATAAAAATCTTTTCAAGCAAACATGTAATTGCCATAAAACCTCTCCTTTCTGTGAAAAAACATTTCTTCTTCTACTTAAATCTACATAAAACACTTCCCTCTTGGAATTAAGCTATCAGATTTTCCTAATTTCAGGGGCCAGTTTGTGATTCGTCCTTCTGAACTCAGAGTTTCCTGAGTTCATAGGAATAGATCACCTCAACCTGGTGTGTATTTCAGCTGCAGAAGCCCTGGGCAACTACTTAAATCTAATTGCAGACTAAGATTCAAAAATGTCTTTTCTTGGTTTATACCTGTATACTTAGGCCACTTGTGCAATTTCTTCAGATACAAAAAAGTGACAGTATCTGCAAAATTAGATAATAATAGTATCTATCTCATAGGGCTACAGAGAATTGGATGGCACAATCTATGTAAACATTTAGCCCTGTGCCAAGATCAGACTTGACGCTTAATATAGTAAATGCTAGTTTTATCATTTGTTGCTGCTGCCGCCGTTACTGATTTCACAGTAGAGGATGACTGATTTATTGAGTTGTTAGTTGGCCCTTCCCAATCTCCCAGCCAAAACATCCTTGCTAGTGTCTGCCCCTATTTTTAAGGACAAAGGCCAAAGGTGACCTACTAGAACACTTTTTAGAAGTTCTACATTCTTTGTTTTCCTTAGTGAAGTGGTTTTGTCTTTTTCTTTAAGTTTGGAATGCCTTTATCAAATGAAACCATATGCAGAAACCCTCAATATAAAAGGGAAGCTGCTCCACTTAAACTAGGGAGGGAGGCCCAAAATTCCTGCCCAAGTGGGCTTCCCCTTCACCACCCCTACCCCTCACCTGCCAAGCCCATTTCCACTGTCTTAGGGGCTAAAACTGTGATTGACTTGGAGTGCAACAGGGTTTAGTGTTTAACATCTCCAGAGCTTTGCTTTTAAAATCCTTGGGTTTTTTTGCCCCCTACTTCCCTCAGCATTTCATTGTCTTAAAACTGCTTGAGTCCTAACCCTGGAATCCCAATATCCTGGGTTTTATGGCAGTCTATGGTATAGAATTGCCACAAATCCCTAATCCACAGAGGTTTAAACACCCTGAAACTCTAGAACATAGGTTATTAACTAAAACATGAGCTTTTCTCCTCACTTCCCCTTACCCCCACCTTATTGCATATATGTAATTATCTAGTGGGAGCCATTTTTTCCTTCCCCCCAACTCTTGATCCCAGTCTTAAAATGGTGATCTCCTCCTCCACCTCACTTCCCACCTTCACCCCACTTCCCACCATCTCCCCCACACCAAACATGTTGTTAGGCATTTGGAATTCACTGTTCTGACAGTGAACAGTGTCACTAAGTTATCGTTATTGGTTGCCCCAACTTCCAGCCTTTGTAGAGTCCTCGATTCAAATGCACAAACTCAGGATTAACCTGCAGAGGAAAACATAGTGCTCTGTCTCCAGCTCCATCTTAGCACCCCTAACACTTTTCTGCACCCCAGTTCTGATGCCTTTCCATATTCCAGCAACTTAAAATTCAGTTGATTAAAATGTGAATCTTTCTGTTTCTCTTATTTATCTATTAAAGCACACTCTTTGACCACTGATGGTTTAAGAACAGTAGTCCTCACCATCTATTCAAACCTCCCCAGGTTCAAATCCTACCAATTCTTAGTTGTGTGACCCTGAGTAAATAATTTAACCTCTTTGTGGTTCAGGATTAAAGGAGGATTAAATGTATACAGTGTTTAAAACCAGTCCTGGCATATAGTAATTGCCCAATAAATAACAATAATAATAATAATAATATCAGCAGTAGTAGTAATTATTATTATTAGGTTGATTGCTACCTAATATATTCAGCAAGTTCTCAAATTGTAATCTGTGGATCACTAGGAATCTTTTTCAGTGTCTAGGAGCTTCTAGGATACCTTGATGTTTCAAATTCATAACAGAAATTTGATATTTACCTAAGATGAAGCTAATTAAAATATAACATATATTTCCTTTTAGCTAGAATTTTATCAACTTGTGATTACGTTGCATATTTCACGCTGATCAAAAGGTCTAAGCAGCAGTTATACATATTTATTTTTGCTTAATAAAGTATGATAAATAAACTATTATTTCATAAATATAGATTATAGTTATAATTATTCATAACCTGGAATTCACAAAGACAAATAATTGAAGGGATCCTTGGTAGTGAAGTTGAGAAGCACTCTCCTTGTAACAAGTGAAGCACAGTAGTGTATACTCCCAAAGAAACAGTCGTTGAGCCAACAAGATGCCACACTGATTCCCAAAAGATGAGCTTTGCAACAGCCTGGGGTATGTTGAAGTATCTCAACGGATATCTTTACAAAATCAGTCAGTCACTTGAACAGAAAAAAGTCAGTATCATGCAGCACTTTAGGACATAAAGATGCCAGAAACCAAACTAACAAAGATGGGAGTTAAAACTCCTAATTCTCTGGTATATTGGGGCTGGTGTGCTGAAATGGTCAACACTGTCAACTTGAGTTTTATGCCATTTAATTGCATCGATTCCCATTATCCCTCCATTCTAGTTATATTAAAGCCAGATTGCTATAAGAAGAACATTTGTTTGATGGGGATTTTGTTTATTCCAAACCTCAGTCCCTCAGATGGTATAAAGAAATTATGCATTACCAGGACCCAAGGGAAAATAAAGATCATCCAGGTTAACTTCCTCATTACAGATGAGAAATCCGAATCATAGAGAATAGAAGGGGTATGCCCAAGATGACACAGCTAGTAAGTAACAAAAGTCTCCTAACTTTGAACAAGAGATCTTTCAGTTAACCTACACTATAGTTCAAGAATATTAAACCAACAGATTGCTTAACCGTTGGGCCTCATCATCAATTACAGTGTGATGTGTACTGCTGGGTTCTTGGCATCCCATTAGATGCTTTATCAACAGTTTCTCCCTGACCTGGCCAAGCACTTAATACTCAAATGGAAACACTGGCATCTAGCCCAAAAGGTCTAGAAAGAAACAAATAATTCACTATGTCTCCCTTTTCCTCCCACAACAAGTCAGTTTAATTAGAGGCAATCTTCATCAGGTTTTGATGTTTCCTGCTAAGAGCCAATGTCAAGCCATGATCATGAGTAGTTGCCAAAGCAGCAACATGGTAAAATTTGTAATTTAGATAAATCACACCGATTTCAGCATAAAAATGGATTAGAGGAGGGAAAGAAGGGCAGGGAAGTGAGGTTAGGAGGAAGCTCATAGACTGGAAGGAAAAGAAAAAGGGCAAAAGGACTAGAGGGCT